TTTGGAGGATCTTGATGCAAATTTCACAGATGGTAATAAAGTTACTTAGCCCCTGCTGGTGCTCGTAATTGCAGGCTATGCTTTATAACTTTCAGGAATCCATTGAAACGATGACTAGCCTAATTAGGCACAGGAAATGGAGTGGGTTGAGTGAGTTATACAATTCAGATGCTATGTTTGGCGGATGTTGACAGTTATTTTTGGATCTGCTTCAGGTTGTAGAGAGCAGCACTCTGCAGGTTTTGAACAATGGGAAGCTGCTGAAACTTCTTAAAGCTGCGAGTGATGATACTGGCCAGTATTCGTGCAAAGCCACCAACATAGCTGGGAGCACAGAGAAATTCTTCTTGGTTGATGTGCGAGGTTGGTACTTGGTGTTTAAAGAAGGTACTCTGAATACATGAACATTCATGAAGCTGCCTTATACTGAGTCAGACCATTGATCTATTAAAGTTTCGTACTATCTATTCTGACTGGCAGCAGCTTTCCAGGGGACCCAGTAGAGGTCTTTCCCATCATCTGCTCCCTAATCCTTTTAACTGGAGATGATGGGGACTGAACCCTGGATCTTAAGCATGCAAAGCAGATGTTCTAGCACTGAGCCAAAGTAGAGTTTGCTTGTACATAGGGATAGGCACGAACTGGGAAAATGCAGTTCAGTTCATGGTGTGTGCTTTGTGCTAGACAAACTGGTTTGGGTCGTGAAGTTCATTATGTGGTAGAATGCCCTCCCTGTGTGCTAGAGACACAAAACTTGCAGGGGATCTCTGGATGACTCTCCTCTACCCGCTGTCCAAGTTTGGTGAGGATTGTATACATGGGATCCAAGTTATGCCCCCCAAAGTAGGTGCCCCCATCCTTCATTGCTTCCAATGGACTACGGTCAAACCAGAGAATCTCTACGTAGTGACTGAAGGTGGTGGTGGTGGTGGGGTTTTGCAAGCCCAGCAGAACTAGTGCAATGTGCCTCACAGAACCAGTGCCACTGTGGAACTGCAAACCCAACAGGTCAAGCCAGGAAAGTGTTTCTGGGGGAAATGTCAAGCACAGGATCAAAAGTGTATAAAATGGATCACCTGCAAGCTACACACGCCAAATGCACAGGGAACCTCACTCTGCACCCCTCTCCTCTACAATCGCTCCAAGTTGGGGACAGATTACATTTCTGGGGTCCAAGTTACCACTACCCCCCAAGTTCTCCCCAGCGTTCTCTCTGGGAAAAAACAGCTGCAGTTACAGGAGTCTATGGAACATATCAAGAACAAGACAGTGACACCAAATTCACAGGAAAACTTCACCTGGGCAGACCCCCCCCCCAAGCCAGACACTGGAACGAAGGCAAGCAGCCCCTCCCAAGTCTCCAAAGGTAGGTTCTGAAGGTCAGAAAGGCAGGCATCCCCAGAGTTTTGAAAGGGGCTCCCCAAAATTACCCCACAACAGTTTGGTGGGCACCCCAGCCTCGCCAGATCAGTGGAAATCAGCGTTTTCCATTTGAAGTGATTAGTGATGCAATGACAGAAAAGCAGACATGACAAGAGAATTCCAACAGGGGCTCTCCAAAGTTACCCTATGACAACGTGGTGGGCAGGGCACCCCAGCCCCACCAGACCACTGGAAATCAGTTTCCCATTTAAATTGATTATGAGATAGGTGTTGTGATATGAGGTAGATATTGTTGTTTCATGAGGTCCCCCCCCCAGCCTCTTCCACCTGCTGTTCCTTCTGGCCATGTCTGCTGGGCTGTAGCCTCCGCACTTCTTTGTAGCACTCACACTTCCACTGCATGAGCTCTGCATTCTGGAGAGCAATGCTGCCTTTTATTCAGGGGTCACACATACAGGCCAGCCTATACTCCCACCTGGTGGTGATGCCCACCTGCAACCTCTCTGTCTAGGCCCTGAGCTTTTGGGAGAACAGGCATCCCCTCAGGGCTGAGCTGCAGTGCAGTGGCCAGCAAGTGGTCCAGCTCTTGGATCAGGGGGATGACTTGCCCCAGGCTGGCCATATGGGTGCAGAGCATATCAGTGGTGTCCTAGAAGGGCTTGAGAACTCACACCATTTGGGAGAAGGTCAGCCAGCCATTGGAGCTGATGCTGAGCTCCTCTTCCCTGTGCAGGATGGTCATGGGAAATCTGACATCCTGCACTGTGGTCTTCTGCTCCTTCAAACATGCAGTCATGGCACAGGTGGAGTTCCAGTGGGTGGGTAAGTCCAGGATGAGTCGATGTTCAGGCCCATCCCCCTCCCTCTGCCTCTTGCACAGCAGATGGGGCAGACTTGATGCTGTGTCAAAAGTGGGTGGCCAGGCTCTGCCAGGTCCACATCAAGGTCTGCATCTCAATGGTAGCCATGGGCCATGTAGCCTTGGATGGTGTTGCTGCCACCCACCCACTCCCTCAGGCTACTCTGTATCATGGCAGTGATGTTTTGTACCTTGTGTTCTACATCCATCCCCTGCGCATGGAGCAGAACCACTTTGTAGTCCAGTGGCAGGACTGTCTCCTTCTGGGGAGTGGGCCATGCCCTGACAGTCCACACAGAGAGGTCATCTGGCTGCCTCCAGTGGGCAGTGAGGGTGAGGTAACCATACTGCTGGCTGCTCCCGAGGTGTGCTGTGAAACCAGTGGGCAGTGAGGGTGAGGTGTGCCTTGAGCTCTGGAGAGCTCACCTTCACCATCACCGCTGTGGAGTGGTACACAGTGGGCAAGACTTTGTCAGCTCATGGTCCTCCATGAGGGGGTTCTTCACCATCACCGCTGTGGAGTGGTACATAGTGGGCAAGACTTGTCAGCTCATGGTCCTCCATGAGGGGGTGGAGCACCAGGGAGCCAAGTGTTGCAGCAGCCAGTGAAAGGCTGTGTCAAGGGAGAAGGGTTGGCCATCCACAGCAACCATCTTGCCAACAAGATGGACCCTCTATGTAGCCCTTCTGGATAGCACTGTCAGTGTCCCCATGGGAATGACCTCTTGGTGGGTGGCCTACCTTGATGTCCCAACACTCAAGGTACCCTGAGAGCAGGGGGGTTTTTCTTGGAGGGGCCTCCTGCTCCCCCTCCACTTCTCCCTGTTGAGAGGAAGTAGGTATATTCTTCCTCCCAGTGACTGCCACTCTTTTCACTGGCTGCCATTCTTTCCCCCAGTGGCAACATACTGGGGTGCACCCTTTGCAGTTGCCTGCAAAGGACAGAGGAGAACAGGTGCTAGCAGCATTTATTTATCTATTCATATTTATAGCCTGCCCTTCCCACAAGTGGGCTCAGGATGGGTAACAATATTTTTATCAATACAATGAAAACAACTAGGCAGATAAATATGAACGTGTATTGTAGAACATTGGGAAGGAACCTGATGCCAAATCAGGCAGTCTTGCGTTTTTTTACAATCACAAGTTCCCCTTGACCAGTGTTCCCTCTAAGCAGAGTTAGTGTGAGCCAGCTCACAGTTTTTTTAGCCTCCAGCTCACACATTTTTGTCTTAGCTTAGGAAGGACGGCTCCAGAGCAAACTAATTTCTGCAGTAGCCAAATCGCTCGCTCACAACTTTATTGCCAGTAGCTCACAAAGTAGAATTTTTGCTCACAAGACTCCATAGCTTAGAGGGAGCACTGCCCTTGACCCCAATTAATTTGGGTGGGAGTGTTGTAGCCCATCTCCATCTACAGAGGAAAGGTAAAGTTGGAGGTTAACTTTTGAAAAGATAATCAGTCTAACAGTTTCAGTCTTGGAGGAGAGAAGAAATTACTTTGAACTCCAGCTGTTTATCTGGGAAAGTATTTACAATAACGTCCAGCATTTATATAGTGCTTTATGATCTGGTCATGGACCATAATATAATAAATTACAATTAGTGCTTTAGAATATTGAAAGCACTTCACATTCATTATAATCCATAAACCTTACAACAACCCTGTATAAGAGATTGGTGATGTTTTCCCTCATACTGCATATGAAGAGTTAAGCTTAAGACCACCTACTGGATTCAAATGATGGTTTATGCTTCTCACCTTTCCCTTTCTCATTTTTCATTTTGTATCCCCTTAAATGGTAAAATATATTTTTTAAAAGACCACCTACTGGATTCATGGCAGAAGTTAAGATTTAAGAGGGGACTTGCTGGTTTAGAACTCGGTCCCTTTAGCCACGATACTAGAAACTACTGCTAGATCCCCCCCCCCGTCATGTATGAACTGTATAATGAAAAAGACACATCCAGCAGTGGACTTGGTAGTAAAAAAACAAACAAATGGGATGGATGCCTATTTACATACATCAATTTACAAGGCTCAGCCATCTCTCCTTAACTTTTCTATTGAAAAGGTTTGATTTCCCTCCACAGTGTACATTCATTTTAAAGCATGGTCATGAGAGCCAGTTTTGTGTAGTGGTTAAGAGTGCAGACTGATCTGGGAGAACTGGGTTTGATTCCCCACTCCTTCACATGCAGCTGCTGGGTGACCCTGGGCAAGCCACAGTTCTCTCAGAGCTGTTCTCTCAAGAGCAGTTCTCTCAGAGCTCTCATCCCCACCTACCTCACAGGGTGTCTTTTGTGGGGTAAAAGGTAAAGGTTTCCCTTGCTCGAAAGCCAGTCGAATCTGACTCTAGGGGGTGGTGCTCATCTCCATTTCCAAGCTGAAGAGCCAGCACTGTTCGAAGACTTCTCCATGGTCATGTGGCCGGCATGACTAAATTCTGAGATACACAGAACGCTGTTATCTTCCCACCGAAGTGGTACCTATTTATCTACTTGCAATTTCTTGCTTTTGAACTGCTAGGTTGGTAGGACCTGGGACCAGAGACGGGAGCTCACTCCGTCACAATGCACTAGGGTTTCGAACTGCCGAACTACAGACCTTTCGGTCTGCAGCTCAGCATCTTAACCTCTGAGCAACCGTGACCCCTCTGTTGTGGGAAGGGGAAAGGAAAGGAGATTGTAAACCGCTCTGAGACTCCTTCAGGTAGTGAAGGGTGGGGTATAAATCCAATCTCCTCCTCCTCCTCTTCCTCTTCTTCTTCGTATTTAATTGTTGATTCTCACTGTCGTTGTTTTTCATCTAGTCCCACCCACTATACGGGATGCTGATGCACCCACTGAAGTTTCAGTCATCCTCAACCAAGATGTCACTCTAGAATGTAAAGTTAGCGGTTCTCCCTTTCCCACGATCCAGTGGTTCAAAGACAGCAAGTAAGTACCATTACTTAGAGTCCTTTGCAAGAATACTGTAACAATGAAATGGAGGTGGAAGAAATTTTCATATTCCTGTATGTCTTCCCAGCGAGGGTACAGCCATCGTTTGGCTGTGCGAGATGTACCAAAAATGGATTTCAGTGAGCAAAGTTTGTAGTGAACCTCTCTTGCCCAGCCAAGCTCTTGTATTACTTCTCCTAAAGATCACATCCATTTCGCAGCTGCCACACTTTTGCATTAGTGTGACACATCATCTCCTAAAGCCAAAGATCCTTATCTTCCCCTTTTTTTCCTGAAATTGTAGCAAAACATGTGTAGTGCAGTGCCAATCAGTTAGTGCCAAATTCAGCATAGAGCGAAACAAGGCTCCGTGTCAGCCAAGGTGACATATTATTCCCATGTGCTTGAAGCCAGCTGTAGATTGCATTTCCATTGTTTTCAGGCATAGAATACAGTCAACATGAATAACAGTAGACAGAAGTCTTCTACAAATGTTCTAATGAAATAAATAAAAGTTGCACAAGAGCACTGGAACTTGAACAGAAGAAATTCTTGGGGGATTAACCTACTGTTCCATTTGTTAGACAGAATGCCTAAGTATGTGGAATGGCTTCCCCAGATGCACAGAGCTATAATCCAGCACAGCATTCTGCAGGACCGATATTTTGTGCCTCTGAATTGCTCATCTTCCAGGAAAGCCCATTAAGGGGATGAAATTTGGCAGTAAAAATGTTAGTTGGACAACAAAAAAACAAGTATATAAATAGTCTTGGACAAATAGCGTTAGCATTTAGTAACGCAAACCAGTGACCAGTCGAAGTGGATACTTCCAGTGTGGTAACTGTAACTTGGAAGTATGTGCAGTATGAAGTCTGTTGGTAGCTAGTTTGCGATGTTTATCAAATATCTGGGCACCACTTGAGGCCAAGTTGTGTATAGGGTTGCATTATACAGCCTCTTTGTAACTGAATACATGCTGTAAAAATCTGCTAATTTTATGCATATGTTAACATAAAAATTGAACCCCATTTGGAACTGGTTTTAGTGGCATGAATTTGCTCAAAGGACTCAGGGGACTATAGTTCTGTAAAGCGCAGCTATGAAAGCCGAGTCTTCAAGAAACTACGTAACTTTTTTTTAAAAAAATTCTAAATGACACACATCTTAACAACAAAATGAATTTCAACACAAAATCAAATAGAACACAACAAATAATATCAGAGCTAAAACTATGGACATGATGTTAAGTCCTATGCTAATTAAAACAAAGAAATACATTACAATACACTGTTACAGGAGATACATATCTAACAATCATGCAAAGGGGAAGCTATATTTGCAGGGAATTCCCCCACATTTGTGCCATTTCATTTCCTCCAAATAAGAAATAAGAGGCATCCACTTGTCCAAAAAGTGAGATAACTTAGAATCTGAATCTGAAGGTTTAAGGGGGAAATATTAATGTGCACACTTTTTGTACCGTATTTGTTAATAAGCCATTAAAGACATCCTCTCTATAACCATAAGACCCCAAGTTTTAACCTTCCACAATGTTAAAAATGGAGGTTTATCCTTCTTCTACTTTGTTACAATACACAAATATGCTGTCACCTATGAAGCTGAAATAAGCTTAAGCTTTGGTGTATCAATATCCTTATGAGAAGGTAAATCCAGTAATAGCCATTTGGGATCTAGCTCTAAATTTACATTACAGATCTTATGAATCACCATAACTACTTTGCTCCAAAACCCTTGAATGGCTGGGCATTGCCACCAACAATGAGGGAAAGATCCCACCTGTTTACATTTTTTTCCAGCAGACATTTGGAATCTTTCTACAGAAATGATGTAACTTTTGTGGGTAAGATACCATCTTTACCAAATTTTTAAAGATAAAGTTTGAATATTTAGTTCCTCTGAAGTGAATGCATATGATGCCCAGACCTCATGCCAGTCATTCTTATTAAGGAAACCCCAAGGTCTCTTTCCCATATAGTCATAACTGCTACCCTATTCTTATTAATGGTTTCAGTGAACCTAGAATACAGTTTTGAGATAAACTGCCAGATCAGGGGCAAGTATCAGTGTTTAAAATGCAGCATCTGCCTTTCTGTTGATTTTAGTAAAACCTGCAGTACCAAAAATATTTCTAAGTTGAAAATATAAGAACCAAGGAACTTTCAAGCTCGGAAAGCTTTAAAGAATTTGCATAACACTTTGTTGTTTGGTGGATTTAGGTTTGAATTTTTCAGGGTGCGAAGCAACTCAGAATGAAATAACTGAATGAAGAGTTTATTATCAAGGGGGAAATATTAATGTGTACACTTTTTGTACCGTATTTGTTAATAAGCACAGCATCATTTAAACAAAAAGGTGATGGCATGGAGAAAAGGCTCAGAAGCAACATAATTTTTTTCCCCCTGCAGGCCCCTCTTCTTAGGTGATCCTAACATTGAGATTATGGAGAAAGGCCAGATCCTGCGTATCAAGAGTGCTCGAAGAATTGACAAAGGGCGTTATCAATGCAGTGCAGCCAATTCTGCCGGCAAGCAGATTAAAGAATTCAAACTCATCATCCAGGGTAAGTGACAGGCAGTCAGATCCTAAATTGCAGATGTAGGAGCATGGCTGGAATTCTTTGCTCACTTAGCAGAGGCAAAATATGCAGAGAAAAGACCCAACTCCGAGGTCTGGACAAGCACAGTATTTGCAGAGGAGTCTGTAGCAACCCAGCTGCTATCCACCAGCCATGGGACAGCATGCTAATACCTCCATGACAACCAGAAATGGAACATACACCAAGGCAGGCACACCCACTCTGACATCAGCCTGCCACCACTGACATGCATAATGCAACAGGAGTTTCAAGGCAGGAGATGACAAGAAGTGGTGTAGTGACCCTGAGCTTCCTTGGTAGTTTCCCATCCAGGTACTAACCAGGGCAAGCCCTGCTTAAGTTCTGAGATCTGATTAGGCTAGCTTGGGACATCCAAGTCGGGGCCCATCATATACACTGCATGGCTTATAAAACACCAGCAGTGGTCAGGGGAATTGAACACCTTCAGGAGTGTTCTCCTCCTTTCCAGAGTCCAGTTGTGCCAACAGTAGAGGCTGCCCTCAGCTCTCCCTCCCAGTAGGAGTCCCATGTTGAAGACAGCTAAGGTCAATGGGAGCAGGGGTTGGGAACTGACACTTGTCTCCCAGACACCAATCAAACAGAGACACACCTGTGAAACAGTCTGCACATTTACTGAAAGTTACCAGGCACAGAGTCGCCAAATGGACGGGTGTGTGTCAGCAAATCTCCTGTTCCAGAAAGGCTTCTGCACCTTGGAACTCTATACCGACAGACCACAGAATCACTGGTAGAGCTGTCCTATCACTCTATGCCCATGAGAGGTGCAGTTGTCTATTTTAGTAGCTTGCAGTGGTACAGGGACAGGCTAGGACAAGGGAGTTGGCAACCCTGCAGAAGACTGCTGCAACTGTTGGTTATGCTGCAGATTCAGCAGGTGGTTGGCATTTCACTGTGAATGGCCTCTACACGTTGAATGGCTGCTTGCAAAGAGTCAAGAGAAACACAAGGACAGTAATGAGTAATATTCTGCTATACAAGCAAGCAGCTAGTGGGCTCTGCAGGTGACTCTCTTGCAATTCCTTCATTTCCTCCTTTGGGGTTCCTACAAAGTGGAATGCATCTCCTGGGGTCTCATAGTGGAGCCATAGGACCAATACTTACCCCTTCCCTTTTAGGGAACTGTATTGCAGCTATGCTTGCTCTGTCTGCTGGGGCTGCTTCAGGGGGCACTGTTCCTGAAATGCAAGAGGAGTTTGGCTGACAGCAATTTCTGGTAATCCCCCAGGACTGTGGTTGTGTTTCATGTGTCCCCCACTTGCAGGGGATGGGGTTATACCATTGTGACATTGCCCTAACAATGCTGTGATAAGCTGCCACCATATCTGCAATGAGATCCCTAATTTCTGCACTGTGCATACTTAATGCTAGCAACAGCTGAAGGAGGGAAGGTTGTCAAGGCAATACCAGAGGGTAGATATGGGGAGGGGGCATAAAGAACCATTTGCAGCAGTCATACCACAAGGCAGGGTATGCTCTTTCCTTCTTTACCTTGTGTGGGGGCCTTGTCCATGCACATGGAATTGGAGTTTGTGTTGGGAGGTGTTTGTGTTGGGAGGTGAACAACCTCTATTGGTTTTGAGCAGAGCAGTGTAAGAAATATGCCAGACCAATGTTTTATCTGTTCCTCTTTGTACAAAGTGCTCTTATTGTGGATTTCTCATCAACAGAATCTCCCCATGTGTGCCAACATGAGGAGAGATGTAGTCCCATGGCACATGTCCTATTATCTGTGGGAATTATACAGAGTTTGGAAGAGCTGTGATTAGCTGCAGGCTTTGACAGTGTCCTAAGCTGCTCTGTGGCTTAGGGATATGGTGGGAGGTTGGAAGGGGCAGTTGTATTAACACTCTCTAACACTCTCCAAGTCCTGCCTCTGGAACAACATTGTACATGTATGGGAATAGTACTTCCATAGGGCCTGTGCATCCAAGGTTTTTCCCTTGTGAGCTACTGATCACATGGTTCAGGCCTGGATTTTACATTATGCCCACACCTGGACAACCAGTAGGGAGACCAGGAATCCTGGACTCCTTCATGCATGTTTTTGCTTACAAAAAAAGTTTCTCTGTGTCAACCTAAAGCCAAAGGGCTTAAGCTAATGTGCAGGGAATCTTTGGTTGGAAGCAGGTTTGGCAAGCCCCTTCGAGACACTGGCGGGGAGATGGGGGGGGTGCTGTGGGAGCCAGAAGTGTCGTCCCTCACATGCCGACATCACTGGAAGTGACGTTGCATACCATGCCTACATCACCCAGAAGTGATATAGGCACGTCAGGGTGACACTCTGGTTTTGGGGCAAAACTCTATAGTAAAGTCACCCTCAAACAATAGACTTTGGCTCAAAAAACAGAGTGTTGCCCCCCCCCCTGTCACCGACATGCCTACATCACTTCCAGGTGACATAGGCACGTTGCTCCATTTTGCTGTTGGGGGGATTTTCTCCCACCAGCCAGCTGGCTGGTGGCGGGCCAGAGCCCGCAAAACCAGGGGATCCCCCACCCCCAACTAAGGACTGGCAACCCTAAGTGAAAGTGGAAGCATTCTCTGAAATATGTTGTTAAAAGATGCCCAGAGAAAGCCAGATTGTCAAGATTGTTGTAGACATTAGATTCCATGTCAAAAATGAAGTCAAATGAGGAGGAAGTTCTTGTATTTTATTGTAATGAAATATGGAAAACAGGCCAAAGGACCCATCAAAATTGATTGCTTTCTTTTTAGCATAATCAGGAAAATGCCTCAATTAATAGGGAAACAATTAGACCAAACCAGAAATTGACAACTTTCTTCTTTTTCTTCTTCATCTTCTTCTTGAGCATATTCTGAACAGATTCAGGAAATACATAAAGTTAAATACTTAAAATGACATCATCATACCATCATCATGGGAATAATATTCAAATGGCATAATTGGTTACAAAAACATAAACAACATTTACATGAAAATCTCCTTATTGGTCAAATGTAAGAAAGGTGTGCCTATGCAATAGCGTCACATATTTACTTGACATGACCTAAGGCATATCGGCTAAAGCTTGTTCTTCCCCAAACAAAAGTATTCATTACTGATACGAGACTAAAATCTTATCTGACCCAGACATTGAAAGGTTTGCCCTAAGAACTACAGAATCATGAACTTTGTACCTATTATGTTGCTTGCTAGCAATATCAGACATACAAGAGGAAAGCCTTCTATATAACAGGCCTTTCTAACATCCTAATAAAATATTACTTAAAGAATAAATCTATAAAAACCAGAGAAATATGAATATGAACAATCAAGAAGGAAAAACCTATATATGAAAATCTTTATATTCCCATTCTTACTACAAGATCATGCTTTTAATTAAACTAAGTTTTTCAAGCTTTATCCTTGGACCAAATTTTGCCTGAAAGCTAAGCTTCTCCTTACTTCTGTCATTAATGACAATGTAAGGAGGGGTTGTAGATCTTCACACACAAACTAGGATAAACTCCAGGATGTGCATTGTAAAATGACCCGAGGAAGGAAGGTTGGCAGAAAAGCGTAGCCAAGATTTATATAGGAGTTGTGATTTTTGTCTAGCCTTGATAGAAACCAGAGAGAAGAGCTTGAATCTCATAAAAGTAATTGAAACAGGAGACCTGTGATGAGCTGCCAGAATACTTAAGAAGAGGTCATTGATGATCTTGGACATCAAGGCCTCATTGGAGTGGGGAGAGACAAATACAGATGGGAAACAAAAACAAAAAAAGAGAGGAAAATCTATAGGGGAAAGAAGTCTATGCGATGCAGGCTGACCACATGTTCTAGGGCTTCAAAACAAATCAGGCAGAGGATGTAAGTTTGGATAGGGTGGTATATTTAATTAGTTTTTCAGGCCTCCTTGACCCTGAATATAGACAGTTGTTCAGACAGTGGGTGTGAGACACAGACAAAAAAGAATTTAAATTTAATCTACTATTGTCTACCCTCTAAAAAGGAAAATAAAGGATTTCCTTTGGTGGTGTGCTTGAGCATGCATCTTGCTATCGACTTTGCTGTTACAGTTATAATTGAAGGCATGTGTTTAAGCTACTGCCTTTGTCCACATCTGGGCCAAGTGGGTTGCTACTGGTACCCCTGTAACTGCGCCCACACCAGTCTGGGCATGTGTAAAGTTGTCTGCCTATGTAATGTGCAAGTAAGAGCTTCCATAGGACTAAACGTTATTTGCACATAATGTATATATGCTTCCAAGATGATCCATTTGGTCAGGATACATGTTTCTGAACCAACATGCCCATGATAATGGCCATGTTGGTGCTGGTGGATGCAAGCAATGGAATCCTAATCACAGTTATATGGTTTATAAACCCATTAACTTCACTGAACATAAAAGGCTGTAACTCTTGAATGGGATTGGGATTAGAGTTCAGGGCTGCTCTTTGCTTATTGCTGCAAGATATGGTATATTATTTTTAATTTTAACCCACTTTGAGTTTCATTATAACCCTTGTTGAATTCCTTATTCAGAGAAAGATGAGTTAAAATGCCATAAATACACCAGGATTAAAAAGTTACCACTGGCAGTAATGAAAGCATGTCCAAGTACTTTACTTTTACTTCACTTAGAGGTTACTGAAGCTTTTAAACATTGCCTTTAAATTGGTTTTTAGCAAGGCCTGATAAGCTTTCTTTTATATAAAATTTATTTGGGTCTTATTGAGGTCAACTGGTATATGGTGGGAGTAAGCTTTTGCCCATATGTGCTCTCTCTCCAGGTAGAACAGAGTCCAATGGCAGCTTTAAGACCAATAAGGTTTTATTCAAGGTGTGAGCTTTTGTGTGCATGCACACTTTGTCAGATATGCACATAAAAGCTTACACCCTGAATAAAACTTTGTTGGTCTTAAAGCTGCCATTGGACTCTAACTTTGTTCTATTACTTCAGACCAACATGGCTGCCCACCGTGATCTCTCTCTAGGT